GACAGTATGCTGCACATGTGGGTCGAATGTTAAGCCAGAATCAAATATATGAGAGAATATTATGAGAGGGAGCCATTCCAGGAGAAGAGTTAACCACACCACGTCCACGGTTTTGTTTGCCTTTTATTATAATGTGATTTCTTGGACATGAAACAATTTTGCTTGTAAAAAGTGCTAGCGGTGTCGTTCTTTATATGTTGTTATGAGGCCCGCTGTCCAAACATCACAGCCAGCGTTAGCTACTCCACAGGCGGAAGGAAGCTGCATTCCGACTCCCACTGCACAGCAGCTCGATCCGTGTCGGGTTCCACGCACTGCTGGGCTCTGGTGCGACCTGACAGCCGAAGTGACCTCCGGGCCGGCTCGGACTGCTGTGCAACGGGAGTGCTTCCGCTACAATACACAAGGCCAGCATGCCTGGCGCACACAGGTTCGAGCACGTCCACATGGGTACTTCCAAGGGCAACAAATGAAAGCCTACCGGAATGATCTGGGGGTAACTGGGTAATTATCCAACCACAGCAAACCTCATTTGGAGCAAAGGTGTAATTAGCCCTGTCCTGTCTGAGTCACCGGCACAGGGAGAGGAGACCAGAGCTCACGCTCACAGCTGTCTGCGTGTCCTGGTTCAGAAGGAACACAGGTCAGAGGTCAGAAGGAGGGCGTTCTCAGTGTGAGTCCTGTGCCCAGCCAGCAGGAATCGGGAGCCCGTCACTGCTGTGGTGATGATGGTCTGATTACTGGACATGCTGTGACCTCAGACAAGATGGACACAGATAGCGAATCTCAGGCTGTCGCGGTCTACTCTCCTCCAAACAGAGCCCTCTCCGTCTCTCTCAGCTGCTGCAGGATTTCCGCGATGCAGGGGTTGGCCGCCTCCTCCTGGGGCCAGTAAAGCGCCCCCTGATTCTCTGTGGGGGGTCCACCCCCCTTCGTCCCTTCAGACCCGCACGGGGGGCGGTCCTTCAGTGGAGTGGGCCAATCAGAGTCGTGCTGCTGTGGCCCGGGGTCCAAAGCTTCAGTCGTCACGGCAGCCAGCGGGGTTGACGGAGCCCGCGCGTGTCGGCCAGGCGATCCCAGGCTCTTCTCGTTGTCACGCTCCCCGGCCCCTCCTGCGCTGACCGGCTCCCCTGGTTTCCCATCAGCCCCAGTGCTGCTGCTCTCCTGCTCCCTGTCATCATTCCCCCTCGGCTCCCCCTCAAGATCCGCACCCCCCTCACCCTCGTTAGCCTCATGGCTGAACACCCCACTTTCTCCCTGCCTTCCCTCCTCCTGGGCCAGCTCTTCCTCAGCACCTCCTCTGCCTCGAGTGGTGTCCACACACCCTGCTCCCGCCTCACTGCTGTCCCTTACAGCCCCTCGCAAGCCCCCCTCCTCTTCTCCATCAGGGTGCCTCTTGCTGTGGTGACTCTCCCCCTCTCTGGGCACCCCAGCTTCCTCTCCCCCTCCTAGCCCTGTTTCAGTGGGCCCCAGATCTCCGCTCTCCTCCTCATCCTCCTCCTGCCCACTCTTCATCTCAAACACATCAGGCTCCGGTTCTCCAGGACTTCCCAGCTGCTCTCTCTCTGGATCCCAGACACTCCCTCCTAGACCAGACCCCTCATTCGGAGACTCTTTCTCACCCACTACTCCTACACCCCCTCCCATTTCCCCATCCATCTCCCCAGTTCTGCTCCCCACACGTGCCTCTGGCTCCCCAAAACTTCCATCCTCCTTCCCCTCCTCCCTGCCAAAGGACGCTGGCTGACCCATGATCACAGTGTCCCGGGAGGTGTGACTGTCGGAGCTGCTGCAGGACAGCGCGTCGGCTTCCTCGGCCCTTATTTTTATCTGCTCCCCCAGACTGTCCTGCAGACTCTCCCACAGAGCTCCTTGAAACCCTTCCGGCAATCCCTCCCCTGGGCTCCCAAATAGCTCTGCCCCCAGCTCATTTCGAAGCTCCTCCTTCAGGCTACCTAGTAACCTCTTCCCCAGACTCCACTGTAGCCCCTCCCCTACATCCCCCTGTAGACACGCCCCCATATCCCTCTGTAGTCTCTCCCCCACATCAATCTGTAGCCCCTCCCCTACACCCCCCTGTAGCCCCTCCCCTATATCCCACTGTAGCCTCTCCCCCATATCACTCTTAAGAACCTCCCCCACATCCCACTGTAGCCCTTCCCCCACATCGATCTGTAGCCCCTCCCCCATATCACTATTTAGCCCCTCCTCCACATCAATACGTGGCCCCTCCCCCATACCGCCCTGTAGCTCCTCCCCCCTCCTGGAGATTTCCAGAGATCCCATCTCTTCTGACATGCCAGTCTCATCTGGTCCTCGAACCTCTGTGCTTTGAGAGCCTTGAGGTCCTGACTCTTCGCTTCTAGCCCCAAAAGAAGACACCTCAGAATCGTCCACCTCTTTCCCCATCCTCTCTCCACGCTCCCAGTGCTCTGCCCACTCCTCTTCCTCCTCGGTTTCCGAATCGGGGGCGGTATGCCTGCGAATGCGGAAGACTGCCTCTCTGAGGGTCTTGGGGTAAGGAGACCACTTCCTGGGTAGGGGAGGAGGAGGAGGATGGGGCAGGAGGCAAGAGCGAAGCACCCTGCCCTGGAAATGGGTGTCAGGGCTGTGGCACCTGGCAGCAGAAGGAGAAAGGGAGGGAGACTGGGAGGGAGACTGGTAAGGAGACTGGGAGGGAGACAGGGATGGAGACTGGGAAGGAGACAAGGATGGAGACTGGGAAGGAGAC